GATTTAGTCAGAATTCCTCTGATGGATTTTCTTAATTCCAGCTAATAACAGATCCCTGAAATGTCCAAAACATTTCATGTATTTCCTTCTCTTTCTTTCTCTCTCTGTTGTTGCATTTTCAGTCATGGATGTGCAAATGTCATTTTCAATTATTGATTTTATAACCCTAATTCCAATGAGTTCAAATTTTGCTGCTGAAGTTGTACCTAGCTTTTGCTCCAACTTGTAAAGAAATAGAAAATTATTACCCATATATTCAAATCTACAAAAATCTAGATAAAATAAACATCACTCTCTTTTGATTCACCAATGAAAGAAATACAATTGCAGACTGAATGAACACAAATTAATCTAGAGAGACAGAATATCCAGATCCCAGGGAAGCACTGCTTCCTAGTACAGCAAGTGCCTCAGGTCCACAGTGCAGGGAGCACTGATGGCAAGATGCTGGATGACTGGAGGACAGGAGAGGACCATGAGGAGTTAACACCATGTTATTAGGTGCTATAGAGTCCACATGTTACCTCCAGAAGCTTTCAGAAAATCAGGTTTAATATTAATAATAATCATTCGGGTACCTGATATGGGGAAAAGAGGATTGATCATTGAGAAATGGACACAGAACTTGGTGCAGATGGAAGGCACTCTTGAAGGACATTTTCAGAAATGGATGCTATATGGAGGTAACATATTTCAAGTACAGAACAACCACCCAGACTTCAAATATGATCCAGAACAATTAAAATAATTCACAGGTGAAATAAATGAAAGCAAATGGGCAGTCCCACCAAAAGCAATAGTTGTCAGCTGATAATGATCCAAATCCCTAGACTTTTTTTTTGTCTTTTTCTTTTTTATCAGTACAAGGGATCAAACTCACAACTGCCTACTTGCAAGGCAGGCACTTATGCCACTGAGCTAAATCCCCAGCCCCCAAATCCCTAGACTTTTATTGTGGGTATCACATGATAGGAAATCCTAGGGATCAGAGAATCCCACAGCATCTGACACACAGTGTGATGAGAGAAGATTAGAGCTGAGGGAGCCCCAGGACCCAGGTTCACCTGAGAGAACTCAGTGAAGCTGCAGATGGCAGAGGAGACAGAGGAGAAGAGAGGGCAGCCTTGAACAGCATCTGCTTTCACCACCTCCATACCATGCTGAAAGCCCCCAAGACCTCAAGTGCATTTTTCCCTCTCCCCTTCATGATCACTGCAATGATTATCTCACATGGGCATTTGGGACATCCAGGTGTGCCATGAGATCCCACTGAATTCACAGACCCAGAAGGACACACCAGACAGACATGTTCCTTCAACCAAGTAGCCACACACCTGACAGACTCACGGCTGTTTGTGCTCATGTCTATCCTGGTTTCTCAGGTCAACAATGGAGAAGCTTAATATCTGGAGCCCACAACACCAGCATTGTGTCCTTCCTGGCTAGAATGTGTCCTGTAGAATATAAGTCTCATAGATGGAGATAAACTCTCTCATCAGGTAACTGTTGCCTCCAATTGGTGACCCTGAAACTACTCCACCAGGGTCAGTGGACAAAGGTGTTGATACTCAGTGACCTTTTTCCACGTGTAGGAGAAACACTAGTACATGCATAAGATCAATACACGTCCCTGCCTGTGGTAGGGAGAGCAGAAGAGATTTTAACTAGGGACCTGCCCTGCACTTCAGTAAAGGGAAACTTTCCAAAAAAGGGACCTGTTCCTCAAGGACTTAGATCATGAATGATTTAAAATTAAAACCTTGTAAAGACTGAAATCCTTTAGTTATCTTTCTTCTCTAGGGGGCCCTGGGAATGACAATCTGTAGGTATATGGTGCTCCATACACAGATGTCCTCATTTTCCTTTTGCAACAACAGCAGTTATCCTGGCCAGAGGAGTTAGTTTCTCCATAGATGGATGATACATCTTCAGGACCCCAGCGCGGACTGTAGTAAATCTGGGTTGGAATTTAAAGGCCTTTACAACTTTACATGCCAATTTTGAATTCCCCCACATTGACGGGACTGTAGTACCATGAAGGAAGGCCTTGAGAATACTAGATGTGAAATAGGTGAACTCAAATCCAAAGAAGCCTCAGGGACCTATAAAAGTACCTTTTAATTCTGTCAGCCTTGTGTACCAGATCAGACTCCTGTCAGGGAAAATGGACACAGGGAGAATGTCAGCAAAGGCCACTTCCTTCTAAAGGAGACACTGCCAGCAGACTAAGGGCCTTCACTATATCCTAAAATGCCAATCCTGGTGATTTCCTGGGGAATGTGAGGGGTTAGGTGACAGAGAAAGGATATATCAGGATAGAGATGGACATAGTGTTATCTGAACTGGATATAGGACATGTCAAGTATCCCATCTTTGAGTGCTCAACTTGGATGGAAGGCAGCAGTACAGAGTGTCTCTAGTCAATAATTTTGTTTTAGATTTTTCTATAAAATTGTCAGTTATCACCACATGTTGTCTCCTGCTTGTTACTCCTAAGCAATTTGTAGGGTTGGAATGAATTGTGCATACTGATGCTGGACATTGTGCTTGCTACAGGCTTTAATTCAGTATAATGCATTCAACTCCAGAGACCATTACAAGAGTCTGTTTTGCAGCAGCTGCCCTGTGTGACCATGAGGACACTGCTGAGCAGCACTGCGTGAGAGACACAGGGAGCGAGATCTGTGTGCACTAAGATAGAACAACCATGTGGAGACAGAAAACTGAGCTTTAGGGCACTGAGAGGCTGCGCTGCAGTGATGCAGTCATGAGCTGTGCAGAGAAAGAATTGGCAGGTGACACTTGGTGGGATTGTAGAATCTCTTGGTGCTCACAGGCACACAGAGACACAGAAACAAACAGAGAGAGGCAGGAACACAGACATAGAGACACACATGCGCATATCCTTGGACACTGCCTCCTTTGATGTAGCTATATCAGCTCTTACTCTACATGTTTACCAACATGAGGTGAGCTCCTGTGCTCTGTCTCACATTATGTGATAAAATGCACTGATAGTAATTTCCTTTTCTAATGTCTGGATTTTTCAGACACTTTATCACAGTGGTAGAAAGTTCAGAAACAGAAATGCAGAATGGTAAAAATTCAGATATCATCTCTTCTTGTAAGTACAAAATCACACAGGAGTCCAAAATTCATAAATAACAATTTATTTAATATGAAGACCGATAAAGTACCTGTGCAGTGTGAAGGTTATCACAGACACAGTGTGCCAATTAATCTGCAAGAATTTCATATGGAACTTGCTAATGCCAGGTTTCTAATTTGTTCTAAATAATGAATTAGGGACTCAGATAAGTCAGAAGCTTGATGCTTGGAAACAGAATTTTACACAGTTGTTGTCAGATACACCCACTACAATAAATCTGATTAGATATATGATTGGTAATTAAAAACTCCATTAGCACACTTACAAGAAAATCTCTTATTCAAGAGGCACTGTTATTAGGTGGAGAGCAAGACTGTTATGAATAGCTGACCAGTAATTATCATGGAGAAAATTATTGAACCTGTTAATTTGGTACAAACTGAGCTCAGGGACTCAAAAATGCAAGGAATGTAGCTGTGCACAAAAGCTTGGAGTACTTTTGAGTGCTCCAAGTTGAGCACTCAAAGATGGGATACTTGACATGTCCTATATGCAGCTCAGATAACACTATGTCCATCTCTATCCTGATATATCCTTTCTCTGTCACCTAACCCCTCATATTCCAGGAAATCACCAGGATTGGCATTTTGGGATATAGTGAAGGCCCTTAGGAGAAATGTTTTTCCTATTGGACTAGAAAATAAAAAAGCAAACAAAATAGTTTTTGGTTGCTCATTAAGTGGAATCCATAAAAAAGTAGAGAAATCATTTTCTACCTGAACTAGTCACAGGTGGGGTTGCACCCTACCCTTTTCTTATAGTAAATGAGCAAATGTAACATTCATAAAAATAAGGGCTTAGAGATAGCAAGATTGAAATGCAAAATGGAAACACTTCATTTGGAAGAAAGAAAAGAAATGTAGGTCAGAAAGCTATCTGTGAAAAGGTAGTGGCCTCATAATTGAGGACCTTTGTTCCTGGCTCCATTGATTAAAGAGACAAAAAAAAAAAAAAAACCCTTTTCCTGGAACTTGTTCCAGGCTCTATGATCCCAACTCAAGTACCATTTCCTGCCTGAAAATTCCTACTCCACTTCATTAGGTTTTCTTTTATACTTTCTAAATTTTAGATCTAAAATATATAGATTGGCGAAAAGCAATCTTACATATGAAGTCAAGTCAACAATTAGGTGACAGGTTAATGCAAAAAATATGATTCCAGAGTAGAATATATACATACGTGCAAAAAAATGTTTTCATCTACAGTTTAAAGTGTTTTTTGTCCCACACTCAATACAAGGAAGTGATCTAGTGGATCAAGTGTGGTATTTTCTTTCAGCAATAATGGTGAACTTTATGCTCGGCTAGGATTATCTTCAAAATTTAGGTATGATTTATGACACAGGGTTCAGTATAAAGTTTCTGAAGCAGTTGGACTGTTTGACTTTACTTTATCTTTAGTTTTTCTCAGAAATATGTTACTGTTTATCTGTAGTTTCTTTATTCAGTTTAATGCAAATGAGCAGACTGAGAGAGAATTTGTGAAAATCTGGGCAATTATTTTTATGGCCTCATCCCTGACAGCAGCCCCTACCTATGGCAATTTGTCCCTGTCTGACCTCTCCAAATAAACTTTTCTGTCCTCAAGGGAGTGGTTCTTCCTCAGAACATTCACCTGGTTACATTTGGGACCCAGCTTCAGGAGAGAGAACTGAACATTTAAGGAAACCCAGGACAGCACTGTAAAACCATGAGTAAATTATCAGTCCTGGCAGGTGAGGGTGACATCACAGGACAGAGATGGACCCAGGAGCCAATCATTGATAAAGGTGGGACTGGCTGAACAGCCAATCAAGTGGGCCAAGGGAGGAGGGCTCTTCGCAGCCCTCTTGTAGAAGTGCTCACTGTGAGTTCAGTGCTGAAAGCCTGGAGCTGAGTGAACCTCTAGTTTCTGGAACTTCTTATTGTGGGCTGCAAAGGATCCTTGGAAACCCTCAAGCATCACAATGGTAACTTGATGTTACTGGAGCTGGGAATGGGATGGAATTTTGGGAGGTCTGAAAGGTAATTGGCAGAACCCCTGTATGCCCAAAATGTCTTTTGCGCAGCCTCAGGCACAGCTGTGTTTAAGGAATGCAGTGTTTGGAGGCTAACCTGAATTCTGTCCTCAAAATGACAAAATATTATCATTTGAATTCCTTTTGTGAGGCCTCTACTCGCAGTAATGTTATGGAATGAACAGAACTCGTAATCTCATGACACTGTGTTATGAGTTCTGGAACCAAAATAGAAATGACAAGAGCTCCTTCACTTCCGGGATGTTTCCTGTGTGGGCAGACAGTCGTGAGGGTCCACTTGACTCTGTGGATTGAAAATAGATCGCCATCTTTCTTTTTCTTTTTTCTGTTTTATTTTTTATTGTTTGGATACAGAGTGTATCTCTGTGGTCTGGCCTGCCCTGAGCCCCAGGCCATCCTCCTCCCGTCTGTCTACAGTGTGAGGAGATTACAGTCCAGAGTCACTGCACCCAGAAAAAGAAATACTTTTAGCTGAGATTCTCCAGCCCATTTTTCAGCCTGTGAGATCTACAGGAAACAGTTTAGAGATTGTATTTACATTTCTGTTATCCCAGGAATTTAGTAATTAGCAGTTGCAAGCAACTCTAGTAGACTGGAATCTGCATTTTATTGTGAGGGAGATAGTTCTCTGTAGGTCCAAAGTCCTAGATCATGGTCTATTTTCATTTTAATTCTTATCCTCTACTTTTGCAACTTTACTTCAGGCCATTTCCTTAGGGAGTGCCTTATTTATAAGTTAACTAGGTAAGTACTTTTTACAATTGAACTACTGAAGCAAGGCTTTTCATAGAGTTTGAGTTTAGAATGCAGTGAGGTATTTGGGGGAGGGTGATGCATTAGCTCGTGAGGGAAAATTTCCTGCAGAGAACAATTTCCTGTAGGTGCTGCCTGTTAGTCCCACACTGAGAAACACAGCAGACTGGTGTCTACAGGGATGTAGAGATGTGATAAATATGAGAGTGGAAATGGAAATAGGTTTCAAAACTGAAAAAGTTTGTTACATTTGTTAGATTTGTCCTGAAATTTGAAGCACTTAGTGGGGTGTAGTGGCACATGGCCTTAATCCCAGCACTCAGGAGGCTGATACAGGAGGATCCTTGCAAGTTTAAGACAACCCTGGGGCATGAAGTGAGTTGCAGGACAAGGCATCCTGAATTACACCATGAGTCCCTGTCTCAAAAAGAAGTTTGAACAATGAGATGGACTTTTTACTGAAGTAGGGGTATCTTCCACATGGTCAGGATCTGCATGAATATTAAAGAATAAGGACAAAAGGTTTTAATAACTTGTCCCAACATGATGGAAAGGACATGAGAGAGCAGGGGCATGTGGAGGGAGGCTCAGTCAGCAGCCAGCATAGTAAAGGACTTCTGAGGTGAGCTTGACCTACTGTGACAGCACTGAAGCATTGTCTGCTTGCTAGGTCTGAGAGTAGGAAAAAGCTGACAGGCCTATAGAAAGGAGAGAGACTTACTCATGGATAAATGCTTTTCTCTATCAGCTCTCCTAATCATCTCTGAGGTAAGATAGGTAATTAGAACCCTAGTACTGGAGGTTTGAAAGTATGTTGGACATCACAACTAAAATAGCATGGTTAGGTGTTTCTTCTGGGCACAAAAGATTTTAAGGCACATATGATGTATCTTATTGCCCAGTGACTGATGTCAGAAATTTGGCCCTTACTTACATCCTCCAAATTTTAAAAAAAATTTTTTAATTAATAAATTTTTTTTGCATTTAGTGATGAGGTCTTACTACTTCGCACATGGTGGCAAAAAGAGTGAGTCTTGGCCAGCATTTTGACTGCTGAGTTTGATATAGGGGAATGAAACTGTCATTTGTCTTGAGATCTGGTCCACAGCAAGAGATGTATGTCTCTTCTAAAGTCACCAGAAATCTGGTCCTCTGTGTAGGCTCCTTCCAGGGCCCAGCCCTGTCTGACTGATGCAATATTTCTAAGTAGCTCAACTGCCAGTGATGAGTTGACAGAAATGTGCTACCTTGTTATTGAGGGCTGTGCCTCTGCTTTGGTGTAGAGAATTGGCTCTCTTTCTCTAGTTCACACAGTCGTTAAAGTTCAGAGTCTCATGCATCATCCTTTGTATTGCTAGGGACTCAGGCATGCACTACCATGCCTGGATCAGTGTTTTATTTTCATGTCACCAAATTTCACCAAGAATTCACTATTGGGGTAAAGTAAATAACACTGAGTCATGGTGCTGCACAAATTTAATACCAGCCTCTTTGGGAGAGTTGGGAGTGCTTAAAAATCAATGCCACCCTGCATAACTGAGCAAGAACTTTTTCAACATGAGATGCACACTGAGAGTTTATGTCCATCCCCAGTTATCTTTTCTAAAGTCCATGGGGCCCTTGGATAATGAAGAGAAAAAGTTTGGGTTTAAACCTACATTGAATTTTTAAGTTGACACATATTTTCTACTGGTGATACACAGCATGATGCCGTTTATATCCCATGTTGGAGGATACAGAGATGAGTCTCTGGTCCCAGATTAAGGAAAACATGCGTGAACAACCAGTGATTCACAGTGTCCTGCATTCAGTGAGGTACATGTAATATTTAGTGTTGTATTATAAATTTGTCTCTCTGTTATATCTGAAATACAGATCAAAGCATTTTTATTCAGCAGGTTGAAAAAAGTCTAATGCTTTAACAGTAGTGTTTGCAATAACCGGTTTCTTTTTTGTGCATATTCAATTCATTTTGTTGTCAGATAGTTTTAGTTTGATCAAGTCATTTTTCTAATGAAACTCAAATATCTTTTTGCATCATTCCTTCCAGTCTTCATATTTTCCCCTGTAAACCATGAGCCAGTTGTTTCCCATTTGGAGAGCAATATTCAGCCCTTTCTCCTGCTCACTTCTGTCAGGAGAGCAGAGCAATCCTGTTTGGAAATGTGAACAGTAATGTGGGCATTTTGTTTCCCTGGATTTTTTTTTTGTTGTTGTACAGATGTGGCCCCATCTGGTTATACTGCTTGAGCTATATGACCCAGACAAGAGGATAAATGGAAGTTTTAAATTAGCAGAAACTGAGCTGTGAGTTTAGTATTAAGTTTATGATTAGACACTACAAGTATTTCTGTCATATATCTTTTAATGTCATCTCTGTAACACAGCTTAAGTTTTATAATTTAAATTGAGTGGTGTGATTTAGCATCAGAAGGATTCAAACTTTCAGGAGTTTCATCTCTTTAAAGGGAGGGGAGTTTCTAAGGTATGTAGGACTTATTAGAGTACTGACTACATGCATATTTGTGAGCATAGAGAAATAGTCCAATAAGGTGACTAGAGCATGAAAATCACTAGATTCAGCTCCTGGGGCCTACACTCAAGTAGATTGGGGGAGATAACTCACCCAGGAAAAATAGGCAAAGCACTTTGTGTATTTTGTGATTAATTTTTCCACTTAAAAATAAGATTTGGGCATATTTGATTTTTCATTATATGAATTATTGCTTTAAATTCATCAGGGTGATGTAGTACTCTTGAATGTGAAAAGCTGCAGAATATTGGAAAGATTGTGTCTAATGTATAGATAATTTTATGAACTTTTTTTTCTGAGCAAGGGATTCTGGTAATTATAGCTTTACTGGTACAATGTTTCCTTTTCTCCTGCAAAGATTTAAGAGAATCAGAAAGTAATTACTACGTATGTAGAATATCTATGAAGGGAATTCTTAGCAAGATAAAGATTAATATTTTGTAATAATTACTATGGTGTGTCTCATGATGAGTATGAATGTGCCAGTCCATTTTTAATGCTCTGCACTTCTTTGTGGATTACTGATTTATAGCAAATAGCAAAGGACTCACTTCATATATGCTTGAAACAACCAATATGACCTTGGGTGTAATAATAAGGTGAAAACAAGTCTCTTTTTTTTTCTGTGCATGAGCACAGGTATTTGCCATTGCCTTAGGAATTGGCCTCAGGTTGTTGCTCTTGCTCTGAGAATCAAATCTTCAACCTTGCAGTGGAAATTCTTCAGAGAGACAGAGCCTTAGAGGCAGGGACCATGCACCAGATGTAATCTCATAGATAATACTTCCATGCCACATGAAGCCTCATCCAGACATTTCTTTCCTAATAACCTCAACGGCTCTAAACACTCAAAATGTAACAGTATAAGTCTCAGTATCAGGCATGCAGAGTTGAGTATATTACTGTGGAAAAATTAGTAAGCCACAAGAGATTAACTTTCATCCCTTGAGGTGAAAAGGTCTGTTATGGAAAATTTACCATGCTAAATCATTTGTCTTCTCACTGGGCAAGAACTGAGAGTGGGATACTGCATGCAGCCTTCCTTCTGCTCTCTAGCTAGGTTTAGTTTTCATAAGTATTGAATCCATTGTAGTGTGGGGTAAAGTCAGGTGACAATATTGGATATTTTTACCCAGTCATAGGAAGTGTTAGGGACATCTAACCATGATAAATTAAATGAGAGTTTAATATGAGGTCTCAAGCAGACAAATAGTATCCTCCACTTTGAGTTTCATTGTAATGATGGTGCATTGTGGAATTAATGAACACATCCTCATAATTCCAGTCCCTTTAGGATGTTTAAAAATCACATGAGAATTTTTAAACAGTTTTAATACCAATAAATTTTAACATATATATTATCATTGACTATGATCCAAATAATTGCTAGGACCCTTGCAAGGGTGAGTAAACTGGCATATCTAAAGCCAAGTGATAAATGAATAAACTGTTGAATATTTTAGCTTCTATAGCTCATAGTACTAAAAGTTGGATTTTATGATAGGAAGTTAAATAGCAGAAGGCGAAATAATGATGTAAAGAACAAATTGCAAAAGGGCTGCCTGTTAAACACACAAACTGATCTCTGTGAAGTTGGGAATTTATACGTACATGCAATTTTTTCTAAACTGGGAATCAAACTCAC